AAGAGTTAACTGATGTTTCTGTAAATGACTGCCTAGGTCAAACTGGCTGCAATTTTATATATCTAAATAGCCACGAAAAGGCGCTTGCAGTCTCAGTGTTTCGTTATCGAGCGAAAAGACGGAGATACAAAATGCAGTTTCCGTTGTTCTATAGTTTTAGCCGTTAGGTCGTTGTTGAACCCGAAACTATCTCGCACAAGACGGAATGATTAATAAACTGCTTATTTTTGGTTTGCGGATTTAATAACTTGTATAGATTTTTCCCCTCCTTTTCTAACTATCGGTATTACGAAGATCAAACTCTGCTGAGCAGATGTTATCTCAGTTTTTAGCAGTCTCATCATTTATAAGTTTAACCAAGGTGCAAGGTTTACAATACATAATTCACGGATTACTTTTATATTAATTTTCTGTCCTTCATATTCTTTCGATCTACACCAGAATGCAAATGATTAGATTTATCATGTTTATATATTCATGTATCAGAAGATAACATTTAAGTAGCGAGTATATTCTAGTGTACAGAATGTCGTTTGAACGCTAAGGCTCTGTTGACTCAGACATTCAGCACTCTTGAAGACCCGCATTACTAGTTGCTTGCTGGTAAACACTAATGAACATTTATCTGTTTACAGTTTAGTGTGGGGCAAAAAGAAACTGTAGTGCAACCTTAGCTTTGCAGGTGCAATTTTATTTGTGCACTTGGTAATCTTAAGTATTTTGTTTTAATTTGAAACTCTGCATGTGACGGCAGACAAATTTCTCCATTAATTGTGAATTTTATCGTGAATGCCTAAAAGTAGAAGCAAATGAATGTTTAACTGAGTTTTTATTTTTTTGTATTACTACACCGTTTCCACAAAAGTTCTTACGCGGCTTTTACTTTCGCAATCGCGGGTGGTAGACAAATATTTCAAATTATAAAAACGCTTTAAATTACTCAAATATTTTTGTTTTGTATTTTTTTAATTTAAAAATATCAGTATGCTAAAAATTGCGAAATCTAACTTTTTATACGTTCCGCTCCTCCCCCCAATATTTATACTTATACTTATACCCCCAATATTTATATTTATATTTATACTTATACCCCTCAATATTTATACTTAGGAAAATTTTACTCTTTATATTAAAAATAATAAACAAAATGTGTGACTCCGTATGACAAATATTGATAGAGATATTTCCTTTTAAATCTTGAGATTATGCTCAGGGGCCATACACAAATAAAAGAGTTTAAATGTTTGTATTTACACGAAACTTAAAATAAAATATCAATTCAGAGGAAGGTTATGACGCTAGCAAATTTCTAACATCATAAACCTGACATAGAACATTTCTATGCATATTATAATAAAAAGTATTGATTAATGTAATTTTTTTTTTTAAGAGATCGTATTTACAGAATCTTAGAGAATTTCCATTCTAGAAAACACTGGCAAGATCCAGCATTAGATGCAGCCAAATCGTAATATTATATCATACATATAAAATATTTCCAGTTGAATAAATTTTTGTATGATTATTAGGTTATGATTCTAAAGCAATGAAACATAGAGAGACTATCAATATACTATTGTTACGAAATGTCCAGGCACTTAAAGATAGCTTCCCCGCAAAGCAGTTTTAGGGTTGCCATAAAATGGAAAGGGATGGCAGGGTTGCCACATTTGGGGAGAAATCGCCCATTTGGCGACAATTGGCAATATGCCATGGACGGATGGAGAACCTTCTGGAACGAATTCTTAACGGTTTACCCCAGAATGTTCTCGAACACAAGTCGAAAGTTATATAAACCCTGCTGGTCCGCAGTCAGTTAGTATGTGCCTCGTCTAGCGAGTTGATAGTCAGTCATTGAGCGAATGTCTCGAAGTGTAGCACCGATATGGTAGTCGAGTGCATCGAAGAGTCTCTTAGTGTATCGCGGTTAGTGAATCGTCGAGAGAGAGTGTTAAGCTCCGGAAACGACTGAACCGAAGACTCAGGAGCTGTGCTCTGTGTGTCGTCGAGTGCATCGCGAGTTGTAGCGTGGAGAGTCTCGAAAGTATGTGGAGTTCCGAGAACGACCAAGCAGAGTCGGGAGCTGTACACTGGTGCTTTGCAGTAAAGCTTTCTTCACCGTTATAGCCACTAGTAAATCGCAAAATAATTTCATTTAATGGCAATTAAGGAGGAAAATAACCCTTGAATTATTCTAAATTATTTTTTAACCGACCCATCAGTTCAAGTTGAAAAGGTCAAGTATACTATATTTTGAAATTAAATATCTCGATCGATTTGGTCGTCAGGAATCGAACTTTTTTCTTTATTTTTCAAGATGGGTATAAATTTTTTCCCAAATGTAATTATAGGAACGAGGGAGCATCTAAAACTTAGACTTCGTAATTATTGTAAAAGAGATTGTCAAAACATAAATGTTCGTGCCATTTAAAAGTTTTTTTGTAATTGGTTTTGTAATTCTATGATTAATGGTTGAGAAAATAAAGTCTGGGTAAAGACTTTTGTGGACATGTTATGTTTACATGTTAGCATTACATGTGGACATGTTATGCTTCGTAGTGCATATTTCCAGTAAGCTTGCGAAATCGGTATTTAGTCAAAGTAAAGTTAGGCAGGCTAAGGAAAGCTAGGTAAGCCACACATTTTACTATTTTTTTTTCTTTTGGTTTTCAACGCATAAATTGAAAGATCTAGTATTGTGTCATTGAAGGTGATAAAAAAATAGATGTCATCCCTATGGTAACTTCAAAAGTAGGTTCCCTTTTCACATTTCTAGCTCTGAAAAACTCAGTTGTCTTTAAAAACCTTGTAAAGACATTAGGGTTTTTCGAGGCCAGAGAGATGAAAATTTAACAACGCCTCCGCCGGGAATAGAACCACGTACCTCTGGATACCGGCTCAGCGTGCAGAACCACTGAAGGCCAGAGTGACTGGGTTCCGTTGCCTGACAGTTGTGAGACTGTCACAAATTAAAGCCCAGACCTCCGGATGTTGATTTATACTAAATCCCCCCTCCAAAAAAAATTACATGGGCATACAAAGCCGTTTTTCTTTACAGAGTTATGAGTCACATTGTTCTGTTTTGGTCATAATGATACTTCTTGACATGACATGCGTAACACTTCAGACTAACTTTATACTTTTACATGCTAATATTTCAGAAACACTTGTTAAATTTTAGAACATTGGAGACTTTTTACAGCACATGACACATTTGATACATTTTACAACACTTTTTACAACACATGATGCTTGATTATACATACTTAATTGAATCAAACAGGATATGATTCACAATGCTAATGAGTAAAAGGTGTTACCTGCCTTAAAGTAGCTGTCATCTTTCTGCAAGCTAACATGGAGATTGACATTCGTTAATTTGACTCTATTTTACAAAACTTGGTACATATTAGAACCTTTGATACTTTTTAGAACACTTGACACATTTGATACATTTAACAACACATTTTACAACGCATGATGCTTGATAATATATACTAAAGTGACATGTACATGTAAGTAACTGTATTCTTTCTACATGCTAACACTGAGATATTTCAATGTACATTGACTTACATCTTACTGGCAGTCTAACTGTCTAGTCTTAATTTCTGTCTAGTTGTACTGAGTAACTACTCAAGGAATAAAATTAATTTTATTCTACTTCTTCTAAAAATTACAAAACCAAAAATTCTCAGACTTTATTCACCACCACTTGCAAGGAACTAAACTAGATCAAACTAAGTAGTCACTCAAGGAATAAAATAAAATTTTATTCTACTTCTTCTAAAATTACAAAATGAAAAATTCACAAAATTTATCCATCACCACTTATAATGAATCAAATATAGAACTTGAAAGTAACCAAAATAAGAAGAACTAGAATTTCTAGTTCTAATCATCTAGCATTCATCAGCTTAATTTCTAACAAACTATTAGACAAGCAATAAACTTGCTCTCACCCAAAGTACAAATACACTCCAGTTCACCAACTGCCTAATCAGCGGCAGTCAGCTTCTTACAAATGGCCAGTAAACATTCGGTACTCATTTGCCAACACAATCTAACCAAATAATATCACTATGCGCTTTTAAACATTAGCTAATCTGCATTGCTGTGTAGGTAGATAAAAAAATAGAGCGAAAAATTAAAATAAAAGCTAATCATTTAAAATTAAATCTTAAAAAATTACATTTATATTTTGAATAATTTAGGTTGGTTCTTGCTCGTTTTACCTCATAAGACATACCTTTTTCTTAACTATTTCTGATTTGTCTTGATTTTGTGGGGTGGAGGGAAGTCTGTATGTGACTGAGTAAAATGCTACAACTTCTGTATCCATATTTAAAACGTACTTTATTTTTTAACATAATGCTCGATTAGCTCTATTTTTGACATTTATCATTCTGGACTACCGTACAAAAGTTTGAAATCAGTCGGATCAACTTTGTATATCTCAATCAAAATAACTCTCAATTTGAGAGTGAACACTATCATTCAGTTGAAAAGAAGGGATTTTACTTGAATATAAATACAAAACAGTTTTACCTTAGAAATTCTTCTGCAAAAGCTATTCGTTTAAAACAGACAAATTCTGCTTGTTTTGGAGTAATCAGTTATTCAACTCTTTGCTTTTTCTAAGTTGCTCCAAATTCATTAAATGGTTACACTTGTCAACTTAAATTGAATTCATTTGTAATACCGTGCGGTACTGTACTTGTAACAATATAACAAGAGACGTGCATTACAGCGATAATTTTTATTCATAGAATACTCGCTGCTCTAGATATCCTAACGTTTTGCGTTACAGAATCTTCTATAAGACAATGATGAAAGAAATAATATAGACATAAAGTATATAATAATAAATATTACTATAATATAAATAATACATAATCTTTAATATATATAATAATACATATTACTCTAATATATAATAATTCATATTATTATATATTGTTACTATAGACAAAAGTTTTGATTACATATTTTCCACTTACCTTTTTTATTGCATTATCCATTATGGTAGGGAATGATATGTACAAAGCAAAGCTTAAAATAGCCATTATAAGGCCCGATAGTATTAAAAGCATGATTTTTCTTTTCAGTGAACAAAACATGATGGACCTAAAATAAATAAAACAATGAATTATTGAACAAAAAAAGAGGTTAAAATGTATTATGTTACGTAAGAGAAAAAGCGAGCTTTGGTTTCATTGCAGTTACAATTTCTGCTACTTTAGCCTTTTGGACGGAATCACTTCCTCTTTATTGATTTAATTTGGGAATTAGATAGTGTATGCTATATTTAACGTTTCGTTGGAGAGTGAAATGTTATCTTGATGTATGATGGAAATAATTATCAGTTTGCGACTTATCGCTACGCAGATAGATATTTACGAAGTTTGCCCTTCGCGTTACGTGTTTCATTTTGCACAATAAGTTTCAACATGTGAGTTTTCTTCATAATCTTTACAATGAGAAAATACCTATTTTTACAAAAGTCTGCCTTCCCCCCCCCCACATGATTGTTGGCTATGTGCAGATAAATCTCCGAAACTAACAAAAGAGTATTATTTTTACAGTATAACAGAATTCTCCTTCGCCATCAAAACATTTGTTAATTTGTAAAATTGTCAGTGAAATATTAGTATACATATATTCAGATGCTTATTAAGCCAATTTCAAAAGGAAATGTGAGCATAAATTGTTAGAACTTGTATGATGTAATATCTGTCTGTCTGATTTATAAAAACAAATACCATTAAATTAAATACGTAGTTTGTAAAACAGCTGCAACTATTCATGAAGGGAAAAAACGTAAAATAAACATTAATACCCTAACATATATGATGCGAAGTGAAAGAGAGGTGGAAAAATATTTTATTATTTATGCCGTTAGAAAGAGATAGGAAGGTAGAGCAAATTTATACATTAAAAAAAGTATCAAAAGCGTCTTAAGACTTCGACCATCCCTGTTAAAATTTGATACGTTCAATAAAGTGACCAACAGTCCAGAAGGTCGCTGTCAAACCTTTTTGAAATCACTGGAAATTCGTGATACAAAACGTTTATCTGGTTAGATTATCAGGACTTGTGTTCCTCTTTCCTTGCTTTGGAAACATGAACTGTCCTGACTCAGAACAAGGAGCTTACTAAAGCTATGTTCAATAAATTGTGAAGTAGACAATACACACACGAAGGGTATACGAAACCCTTTATTTTTCTATCTTTACAGAGATTTCCGGAACTTGGGAATACAGAGACCAACCACTTCTGGTCTGAACGTAAGAATATAAAACTACTAACTAAAACTTTAACTAAAACTAACTTTGGATTAATATACAAGTGCCTAACTTTAAGATTGGCCGTTATTTAACAAAATCCGTATGTAGTACAGAAAGCTGCTAAAACTACGATACGTTTGAAATTATCAAGAGGACTAAACCTCTGGCCTTGAAGGCAACCAGCAACCGAGTAAAAAAACTATGTCCAGCGGCCTGCTTCTAATAACTCCTTCCTCTCTCTTGCTTGGCAAAAAGCCACAACTTAAGTACTTGGCGTTAGCAAGACAAATTTGCATAAATAAGTTAAAGCTTTTAATTCTGGCCGGAAGTAGAAAATAAGAAGTGATAGTAAAAATTTAAAATAAAATAAACGTTAGTAAAACTTAGGATCCTTACATACTTCTCGCCAGAGTTAGTTAGTTTGAAACTGAGGTCTAAAACGACCTTGTTGAAAACTTTTAGCTCTAGAATCTAACGCGAGGAAAATCTTTTACAAACATTTCTCACTAGAAACTAGAAATTAAAAAGTCATTTTTACATTATCAACTCCATGGACAAGAAATTTTCATGTGTACTGCATCTATAAACAGGAGTTTCTTAGTTGAAATCTGCTTCCTTCCAGAGATCTGGAAGGAAAACTAGTTTAATGAAATGTTACACAATCAAATGGCAAGTAACATGAATATTTATATTTCTCTTTTAAAATTCTTATTTCATTCATGACGTTATTTAATTATCTCCCCGTGCTTTCTGACATGTGTTGTAAAGAAAAACACCAAACACGAATGTGTTTATGTACAAGTGTTCAACACTACCGCCTGCAATCAAAACACTAACGTGTTAAAATTCAACATAACAAGACCTCATAACACACCTTATATTCATCTCTAAACCCTGAGGTACTATTCTGAAAAGTGGCTAACTCTGAAGTGTAGCGTCAGAGAGCCTAACTACATTCATTCAACCTTTAACACATATTCACAATAATTTGCTCTTTTTACAGTCACACGAATAAGTTAAAATTTTTGGCATTACTTTCACTTTTAACATATCACAGTATTTCTTAACGTTTAAAATAACAGGTCACATTGTATATAAGGACATATTAACATGCCGTTAATTTTACGCATTTTAAAACATACATTAGTAGCACATTGTTAACTTCTATTCTTTTCCAAGCAAATGCCAATTCTTCTACATTGAAATACTACATTTCAAAAGTCTTTCAGACTAAAACTTCTTTCTTGCCAGAATCTTTTAAATAAAATTTTATACAATAACTTTTACAATATTCAAGTATTTACACATTCCTATTATACATTAATTTTAGTTTTACTCGCGAGTAATTGAAAAACATAATACCAAAATAGGTAACAACTCTCATTTCTCGCCTTTTTGGCGATAAAGGTAGACCTCACATGAGGTAAAACGTCTTGAATTCTGCCACTTGCAGTAAGAATGAAAAATTAACTTAAGGTTTCAAAGTAACATAAAGTTTTACTTATCTTTGTGATATTCAGACATCCTTTTTTCTGCCCAGTCCTGGAAAGTAGCGAAGACTACCGTCTGGTTTATCTTCCTTCTTGTGCGGGTTGGCCCTTCGGTTCCTTCCTCCATGAGATTTCTTTTTCTTCCAGTTCGGTCACTCTTGAAGACCTTCTTTTTAGCATCTGCCTGTGGTCTCGGCCGTTTGATGGCAGCTGGTCTTGGCGGAACCGGGAAAACTGTCTCTCGTTGTTGCCTGGATCTCGTTGCTGGCTGTTCAAATTTTTCTTGCTTCTTTGCATCTGCAGCTGGTCTTCCTTCATCAATTCGTCGACATTTGTTGCGTAGACTCCTATCCGATGTGTAGATCTCTTCCGTTTTGGGGAGCCGTGTTATAGTTGCTGTCATTTCTCCTGGCTCTCTTTGCATTAGTCGTACTTCTCCCTTCTCCCTTCTTCATTCTGGGGGTGGTCGTGCCCTCTCTTTTCTGGTAGGTGGAACGGCTTCTTTTTCTTGTTACCTTCAGTTTTCCAACGGGGAACTTTTTTTTCAATTGCTCCAGTCTACTAATGGCTTGCCCATGTGATTGTTGTTGTTCCACCTCTGGAGCTTGTGCCGTGCCGGATCCTGCAAAAGATCTTGAAATATTGGCAGTTTATTACGATTATAACATGGTTTTATCTGGTCAACGTTTGCGGTGCAGGTTTCACCATTCCTGGCTTTTAACACCACTACAGCCTGAGTTCCTTTTTCTATGACATATGGTCCTTCAAATCGTGGATAAAATTTGGCAGTTTTATCTTCTGGTGCTGACGAAAGTGAATGCTTAATTTTTACACTTCATCCCCTACTTTATAAGTTACTCCCCGTCGTTTCATATCATAATAAAGATTCTGATTTCTCTGTGCTACTTCAGTGTTCTTTTTTGCTTCTTTAATTAATTTTTCTATATCGCCCATTTTAAATTCTGGGGCTCTTTGTTGAACATAAAATAATTTATCTAACGGCGTTATAATCTTTCTGTCTAAAAATAACTCAGCAGGAGTATTGCCCGTCGTATCATGTTTTGCGGTCCTAAGGGCGAAAGCTAATTCATTGACATATTTATCCCAGCTTTTATGAAAATTTTTAACATAACTACGGATAATTTTTACTATATTTCTATTGACTCGTTCCGCTATATTTGATTGCGGACTATACGGGACCATTTTTAAATGACGTATGCCCAGTTTTTGGCACGTCTTCAAATATATTACTTACAAATTGAGGACCATTATCCGATATAACTTTTAGGGGAGCTCCGTATTTAAGAATATATTTATTTAAAATAGAATCAGTAACTAATTTCGCGGAGGCTCGTTTTAAGGGAACAATTTCGGTCCACTTACTAAAATGATCAACCATAACAAGGAGATACCGACTTTTATTTAACTGACTTTTTGGGAAAGGGCCCAATAAATCGATGCCAATTATTTCATTTGGAAATTCCGATTTAATGCTATTTAGAAACCCGGCCGGGCGGAAATTAATATAATTAACTGCTTGACATGTTGGGCAGGACTGGACATACACCCTTGTTAACTTTTGCAGTTCAGGAAAATAAACTGCTTCGCGTACGCGTTGGATGGTTTTTCGAATACTAGCATGAGAAGCTAAAGGGCTGTCGTGTAACTCCTGCAGGATATTTAATCTAAGACTAGCTGGGATAACAGGTCGAAATTCGTTGTTGGAATTTGTAGTTTTTGTATAAAATAATAGACCATCTATTAGTTCGTAATGGGCCGCCCTATTTCTTATCGCCACAATATCTTGGTGGCTAAAATTTTCAGGATCCTTTAAATAATCATAAATATTTTTAAATTCAGGATCCTTACCCAGTTCGGTTATTACAGTTTCTCGGGAATGTATCGTACATGCTTCGAGCTTTCCCACCTTTACAGTATTACCTTCTTCATCTATTTTTATTCTGGATAGGGCATCTGCTACGATATTTTCCTTTCCGGGGGGTGTGCTTTGATTACCAGATTATACTCTTGTAACTTGAGTGCCCATCTTATTAACCTTGGGGATAAGTTTTTTCCCTGAGTATAATCTAGTTATGATACCGCTAGTTACCGCCGCATGATCAGAATACACTGTTATTGGCGCACCCTTCCAAAATAGACTCGGAACTTTTGCACTGCTAACAGAACTGCAAGTGCCTCTCTCTCCGTCGCGGGATAATTTCTTTGTGTTTGATTTAAAGTTCTACTAAAAAATGCCATGGGCTGCTGATTTTGCGAAAGTACCGCTCCTTCCGCATAATCCGAAGCATCAGCTGAAATTTCTAAATTCTCATCGTTTTCAGGAAATTTCAAAACAGGGCCTTGCGTTAATGCTTGCTTTAATTTTTCGAAAGCACTATTGGCTTCGGTAGTCCACGAGAATCTTGCCTTTTTCCTTTTTAATTTTAACAATGGTTCAGCAATAACTGCAAAATCTTTTATAAAGGACCTATAATACTAACAAAGTCCTAGAAAAGAAGAGAGCTTCTTCGCCGTATTCAGCGGCGGATACTTTT